CGCCGTGCTGCCGCTTCCGCTTCTACTTCCGCTTCCATCTTATTTGAAATGAATTTTGAAAAATTAATTAATTCCTCCCCTCGAAATTGTATAGAACAATTAACAAGGGGGTCATGTTTTAATATTATGTTGTTAATTCAGCAACATTTCATATATACCCTGCACAAAATGAAAACATTAATACAGATTGAGATTAAAATTTACTTCTTCCAAAATTAAATATATATTATAAATTGTTCTTGTTTCGTGAATGGAGTACAACTGGCAAAAGATGAAAAATGCAGGCAAAACATTTACCTTCGCTGTGAAGAAACGGCCACCTTTATTTAATTAATTAGATAATATTTTAATAATCAAGAAATGGGTGAAATATAATCAAGATTTATGGTTTCTTTCTGTTTTTTTTTACAGAAAGAAATTCAAATCTGAGGGAATAAACGAATTAAAGGCTACATGTTAAAGAAAAGTGGCCGGCCGTCGAAGGCACATGCATGCAACAAAAAACTTTGTATATATATACATATATATCATATATATGTGTGTGTATAAATGTATATTTAATATTTAAACATTTAGATTCTCAAAATATATATATATATATAGATATAAATATTTACATAATCAGAGCTCTTAATTCATAGGACGAACAAGAGCTCGTAAGGTGATGATGATGGGGAAATTTAATAATATATTTTTCTAGACAATTCTTTTATTTCCGTTAAGGAAAAAAAGAATTGTTTGGGGATGGCAGATGTGGAGCCATAAAAAATGGATGTTTTACATGTCAAGAAACTCAAATTAAATTTAACTAGCTACGAAAACCACCAACACGAAAACTCATTGAAAATTGAAATATTTTATTTTTACCTAGTTGTAATGTACTCCCTCCGTCCCAATTTAAGTGACGTTTTGGGTTGTTGCACACGTATTAAGAAAATCAATAAATGTGCATAGATTAGAGTGAAAAGCATAGGAAAATACTAATATATCCCTGACATTAATTATTTTACACTAACTAATTAAGAGTGATAAAGTGTAAAATTGAAAATAGTGCAATTAATGATACATTGAAAATCTAAAATGACAAATAATTTGGGACAAAAAAAACTCTCTAAAAAGACATATAATATGGGACAGAGGGAGTATATAATAATTGAATTAACAACGTTCTTGTTTTTTTTTTTTTTTTTTTTTGTTTTCCATTATTTTTATCAGTTATTAAAATAAAGTAAAGCATGCATGTGCAACCCAATTTAGAAACACATTGCACACTACAATTAGTGACGTCGAATATCTTATTACTATAGTTTTAAAATTAGCGATAATTAAATATTAGGTTCCAATTTGACGTTTGAACTTTGGAGTCAACGGTTCCTTATCAATTAATCAATAATAATGCACCAGTAACCAACAACACATTTTAGGGTACATGGGCCTATTTGCTAGCTTATATTTCTTAGGGCTTTTTTGGGCAAAATACAAACTTAGGTGCAAAATAAATAATATTAATATCTTATGGGCCAATGAGTTCCGGATGTAATATAATTGGGACCGGCAATTGAGCAGGGTCTATACGAAGCCCGATCGTTCGGCCCCTATTTGACCAGAGTCTATTTACATATTAGTATACACTGCTAAAAATGCGGTAACTCTGCATATTATTCTCTATTTTATCTATAAATAAATAAATTACTAAAAATGCGAAGATATGCATGCCATAAATATAAAATTTAATAATCTTAAGTAAAAATTAAACGTGTATATATCACTTAGTTTTCCACGTCAGGTTGAAGGAAAACAAGTCCCAAATGCATTTAATTACTCCCTTTAATTATAGGCCTCCAAAGTTGAACTCCTGATTAGTCACTATTATGGGCTCAATTTGTTGTGAATTAATTTACCAAGAGGAAAAGTGCAATAATTATTCATACCTATATATATATATATATATATATATATATATATATATATATATATATATATGTGTGTGTGTGTGTGTGTGTGCATTAAATGAACTTTACGGTACTACACCAGTTTCCTATCTCCATTATAGCCCGAAATAAATTGTGAAATTCAACATTTACCAGTTTCAATGATGTTTTTGAGTTTGCCTTTTTAGATTAAATTTTAAACTTGAAGAAACTATATATAATATTTATATATATAATTAAACATATTATATCACATGTTGTAAACCTAACTAATTAACATAAGATGAGTACGTCTTTTTCTGAAATAATAAATGTTCACATGACATGATATTATAGTGTAAGTGCATCCAGCTGCACTACTTGCTTCCATCCATTACTTTCTTCCTTCGTATATTTAATTTTGCTACCTTTTGAACTTTATATATATACATACATATATGATATATATCACATGAAAATCCCGTACATGCAGAAACAGCTTCAATTAGTTGTTCACGTTTGTGCTGTAAATCTGCAGCTGTCATCTTAGCGTGTGTGATGGTGAGTGTGTGTTTTTGTGTTCAAGGCTTGATATTAAATGACACAATTACTTCGAATTGAATTTGTATATGTTGTCAAATAGTTATGTCCAACAAATGCTACCGATCGAAACGAAGCGATTAAGTAAAATAAAATAAGGCCCGTAAATTGTAATTAATTAGAAGAACGCCACTCCTATTTATTGAAAAGTAGTGAATTTAAAGAATCAATGAGTCGAATATCCGTGTTGAAACCGTAAAATGTAAATTAGATGTTATGTGAACTTTGTGCAACACTTGGATCGTAACCGAGGAAAAATAATATATATACAACACAATGTGTAATTTAAATGAATTATAATCCACAAGCTAAAGTTCACAATCACACAATTGTGAATTAATGTCAACAACAATGCAGAAAGATCTTTATTGAAAATAGTATTACAACATTAATACAAGTAATAAAGTGGAAATTAAAGTAGTAAAACTTCTTTTTGTACGAAGTAGCTACCTTACAATTAAGAACCAAGTCTAGCTCCTCAATGTATCTGGCGTAATATAGCAGGTGATTTTGCATCATAGATCTATATAGATAACAATCCACTGATCGAGCACACACACATATATATATATATATATATATATATATATATATATATATATATATATATATATATATATAAGTGTGTGTTATTGTGTGTAGATTAATGGCCGGTGCATGATCAGACACAAAATAGACGATTTTTTATTTTTTATTTTTTGGCGCGCTCACAATAAAAAGAAAACATACACACTAAACCCTAGTGGATAAAGTGATCAGTGTATATAACATTTAGGGAACACTTCATCTGTGACAGCAACTCTCATTTTTCTTTTTTTTTTTTTTTTTTCCTAGTTTCTCCCCTTGTAAAACTAAATGCGTGACCTACTTTTTTACGGCTTTAAAATCTTCATTCAACTGCCAACCAATCAAAATGCACGAATTTGTACTATTAGGGCCAAATAGTTAGTCAACTTCTGCATCCTGAGTTTAAAGTCTTCTTGGTGGCTTGTATCAACAAGCATGATTCCTTTCATCGAAAACACGCCAGAAAAAACAAAAAAAAACCCATGAATCACAAATCTAGATATTCAATTAAAGAAAGTAGCAGTAAAG